CACAAAGGTAAGTCCTGTCTTACTAACCTATTAGAGCTCTTTCAGAGTGTCACTATGCATACAGGCAGGGGCGACCAGGGAGATATTGTTTACATGGACTTCCAAAAGGCTTTTGACAAAATCCCTCACCAAAGGCTCCTGAGCAAATTTAACTGTCATGGAATAAGTAGAGACGGGATCCTCCTATGGGAAGTGACTGGTTAAAGATCATAAAGTAGAGAGTGGAAATAAATGGCAATTTCTCCTAAACGAGGCATGTAAACAGTGTGGTCCCATGGAATTCTGTATTAAGATCAATGCTTTTCAACCTGTTCATAAATGCTCTGGAATTAGGAGTAAGTAGAGAAGTGGCCAAGTTGGCTAATAACACTAAACTATAGGGTAACTGGGATTGGGAGAAGCTGCAAAGGAATCTCTCCAAGCTGGGAGAATAAGCATCAAAATGGCAAGTGTAGTTTAATGTACACAAGTGTAAAGTACTACATCTTGGGGCACAATTTCCCAACTTCAAGTGTAAGCTGCTGGGATCTGAGTGTCCCATCGTGAAAGGGATCTTGGGGTTGTGGCAGACAGCTCAAACAAAAGGTTGACCCAGTGTGCAGTTCATGTGAAAAAGGCAAACTCCTTGTTAGGCATAAGTAGGAAAGGAAGTGACAATAAAACTGCCAAGATTGTATTCCCCTTATACAAATCATGCTTGGATTGGTCACTGCATGAAAAAAGACCTCATTTTTAAAAGTGCAGAGAACGTCAACCCCAAAATGATCGCGGGGTTAGAGAAAATATATGGAATTGTTTGTTGTTATGTGTCATCAAGTCTTCTCCAACTTACAATGGCCATGTGAATGAATGCCCTCCAGAACAACCTATCCCTGACTCCCCTGCTCGGTTCTGTAAATTCACAGCCATGGCTTCCTTTCTGGAGCTAATTCAGCTCATGGATAAACTTCTTTTGCCTTCCATTTTCCCTAGTGTGATTGCCTTCTCCAGTGAGTCTTGCCTTCTCACGATGTGCCCAAAGTGCGACAGTTTTGCCATTTTTCATCTAGGGGATGTTTTGGCTTGATTTGATCTGGGACCCACTTGTTTGTCTTTCTGTCAGTCCAGGATATTCACAAAGCTCTTCTCTAGCAAAATGATTCAAATGCATACATTTTCTTCCAGTCAACTTTCTTCACTGTCCAGCTTTTACATCCAAATGTAATGACTGGGAATATAATAATATGGCTGATCTTGGCTTTGGTCTCCAGTGAAATGTATTTATGAACTTCCTTCAACGTTGTCCTTCCAAATCTCAGTTTTCTTCAAATTTCTTGGGTGTAGTCTCCATTTGGATTGATGATTGAGCAAAACCTTTCATAGTGATGCCAGGAGGTCAGACTCCGTAGTCTGGTGTCCTAGGAAGGTCATTCATATTGAACTGGTCAAAGAAGAGACACTGGACTAAGATTTGCCCTCTTCAGGAGTAACATAAGCAGAAGAGAATGATACCACTAGTAGTGATGGGGCCAGGCAAACTTCTGAAGGGCAGCTGCTGGGCAGAAGAGGTAGTTGGAGGTGATACCAGAGGAGAATCTTACACAGACATCAGTAGTGACACTTGAGCTAACTCTGGTTAGCACTGCACAAAAGAAGGTATACCACTCCTGAATTTTCTTACCTTGGCAACCTTATGATAAAAATGGGATTGTTTAGCATAGGGAAAACGGTTGAGACATGATACAGGTGTCTAAAATTAGGCATGGTTTGGCAAAAATGGAAAGGGAGATTTTTCTTACTCTGTATAACAGGAGAGCCCAAAGTCATCCCCTCAAGCTGACTGGTGGGAGAGTTGGGACAAATAAAAGGAAATACTTCCTCATATGGTACATAGTTAAAACTATGGAATTGATTTCTGCAGGAAGTAGTGATGGCCACTAATTTGGATGGCTTTAAAAGAGGATTGGACAAATTCATGGAGGGGAAGGCCATCAATGGCTACCAACCTTGTGCAAGCCATTGTCTCCATGGCTCCTCCATTATTGGATGAGGCATGTCTGCATACTCCAGTTACTAAGGAATTTGGGTAGGCTGAACTCTGGTACCCACCCTGTTTGACGGATCCTATGGGCAGGTGGTTTGCCATCATGTGCATGGTGTGCTGGACTGGATGGACCATTTGTCTGATGGACCATTTGTCTGATTCAGCATGGCATTTCTTATGTTCTTATGCTATATTCTTATGTTCTCATATTTTCCAGATCAAATACCTGTTCTTTTTTTATTCTTACTTCCCATATTATATGCCATATTGTATAAACTTTATGATTAGTCTCAAGTTTATCAATATTTTATTAACAAGCATGGCTAAACATCATTTATAACAAGAGAGAAACTGATTCAACACTTTGGTTTCTAACCTTAGTTTTCTGCTTCCTATTATTCTTTTTAGCCATTAGATGCTAGCAATTTCCCTCTGATAAAGAAAAAGATATATTTTGCATTATCAAAAATACAAAACATATTCCCAAGCATTATACCAGACATCTGTCTATGGCACGAGCTCAATTTCTTTGTAAAAATGCATTTAAGAGAAATCATAATATTTCTTGTTCTTAAAGGATTCCACCATATATGCATGCACAGTTTTCTCATACTATGAAATTCTGCCTATCCCTAATTAAATTCAAACCATCTCACTCACCTCCCTCTCCACCAATGCATTTCAAACACTAATCTGAATTAATTATAGTAGCATTTCATCGGAATCAACTATTTTCTGAGAAAGGAAGTTGGGGCAAGGCCAAAAAATAACTCTGAAATACCCAAAGGTATATAAAAGACTTGTGAACAGGTCGAGTCTTTAGCTTATCCACCTGTGGAACTGCAGCCATAATTGTGTTGTCCATAATCACTTTTGCCCCTAGTAATTCTCAAGCTAACCTTTCCCAAAGAACAGCAAATTATTATGGAAGGTCCTAGCTGACTATATCTATAAAAAAGCAACCTCATTCTTAGCATTTATTGAATGGATGCACATCTAAGGGATTGGTGGGAGGAGGAGCTGATTGCCTCCGCATATTTTGTGTACATTTTGACTGACAGGAAGTATAAATAAATAAATAAATAAATAAATAAATAAATAAATAAATAAATGTTTTCATGGCCAGAATGAGCATCGTGTCATGTCCTAGCTGGGGGAGGATTCAACGTATGAGGGAAAAGAGGGAGAGTGGCAGCACTGTAGGATCCAGGCAGATCCAGAAGAGAAACTGGAGGCTTCATCTAACAGCCTTCTACTGGAGCAATTAGAAGAGCAGACTGAACTCTCCTAGACCATTCCTGAACTTCCCCAAATGTAGAAATCACAGATGAATGAATGGTTTGGAGCAGCGCAGGATCAAATATGAACAGCAGAAGTTCAACTTTCTGCAGCATGGGTCCTCCCTTAAAAGCAACAAGGTGACCTATTTTACCAGCTGTGCTGATTTAGGACCAGCTGTAAATTAGCCTAACCGAAGCAAGCTTGCTGCTGCAGGTAACAGTGTTTCAACTCTGTTCTTTTCTTTGCACTACTGGACCTGACAGAGTCCTAGAACGTTGGCTACCCCCTTGAACACCTCTGACTGATCTGTATGTTTTGCAAGATGAACCCTGTGGTCTGAACTTTGGACTCACCTAGTATTTCATGGTGTTATTCCTGAAAATCTCTCAGCCTTGAGCAGAGCACCTGGTGGCCCAGGAGCAGACTATGAGGAAGAGGAAGCTTCTGCTTAACCTCTACATGATACCTAGATCATAATTCCTTAATGTGCTCATCACATTAAAGGGGTTCTACAGAATTAACCATGAGTAGGCAGGTTTTTAGCTTTGAAATCTATGCCAGAGGTCTGATGTCAATGCCCTACTGCTTCTGTGTGAATCCCACACAACCCATTAATACATAAGAGGATTCAAACACAAAGGTCTACCCTCACCATTGAATTCTGCTTTATTCTGGAATCCTGACCAAGAACTACAGAACCCATTTGCATGCAATATGCATACACATAGGATCTGTATACATGATCTAAGCAAATGTAGGATATGGAAAGGCATCCCACTCTATGTATATTCATGAAGCTTAGGTTGGCAGTACTTGGGGAAGACTCTTTTGTCTTCATCATGCGTGTTCCCCACTTGTCAAAATTTGCTTCCCAAAATAACCAAAAATGTGCATAGGGACACTCATTTTGCACACCAGCCATGCCTTGTACTCATCACCTAACAACCCCCCCCGCCCCCATTTTAAGGATACCCTCTTCTATTTGGTTTTGGGAAAAACTCTCCCTCAACTAATTGAGCCTGTAGGAAAAACCTACCACAAAAAATACAGGGCTCTGCCTGTGAGCAGTTTGAAAATGCAAACTTCAAGGAAAACTCAGACTATCCCAGCCTTCCCCTGGTCAGCTCTGCTTCCACCCTTCTCTTTCCCCCATGCTCCTCCCTTATCCATTTATATTATTTGTTTGGTTTTTCCATTTGGTCTCTCTTTGTAGTCTTTTCTAGAGAATGGAGCATGGAACGGACTTGAGAGGATGCTGTCAGCCCCCAGATCCCAAACACAAATGCAGCCATGGTGACTGGTCTCCAAAAAACCTTCACATGCACAGCATCCCTCAGGAAGAGAATCCCTTTCCCTTCATTCTGGCAGAACTGCTATTGCCAGTTTTCTTTCTCTACACTTCTATTGCTCCCCACTATTCTGTTTCAGCATGTCAGCCATGCTGCTAGCTGTAGTTTTTTTGTTCTGACTTCTCCCTCTCTGACCCAGGAGATGTGTGTCTGGCATCTGTTGCTCTCTCCTCCCTAACAGTTGGCACTAAGACCCTCCTTTCTCTATGTCTCCCATTAGAATTAACCAGACAATTGCAAATCCATGCTGAATGCTGCTTCTGTAATCAGGCTTTCACTTCTGTAAGAAGTAGGCATAGTAATAAATTGTGTGCCTTGCAATAAAACTGACCATGCTTGATTCTAACCTCTAGTTGATTGTATCTGTCCCTAGGACAGATAATCAGCATGTCTTTTGGATGCCATTTCCTTGGTGGAAAGGCAGGGTAAACACCAAGTAAACTAAGCAAATTGTGGTGCACATCACGACTCTTAGTCAAAGATTAGGAAAGTGCACAGTTCACCTGCAGGCAAGGATGGCACAGGTATGGGAAGCAATAGGGTTGGCCCAAGACATGTCCTGCCTCAAATGATGAACTCAATAGCGCCACCTTCTGTTCCATGTACAGACATTGACTGGACTGTTTCATCATCCCTGACAGCCTCTCTGCAGCACCTGATGGCCATGAGGCACTCAGCTCTCTCCCACAATTCTCTGCTGGTGTGACTGCCTCACTCTGCCTCATGTCAGGGCACAGTAACAAGGTACAGATGGACTTTCAAGGTCAATAGAAAGCTGGAGTCAGACTCTTAACTTTCACAATGACTGCAAATCCCAATAATACTGCTTCACATTTCAAGTCCTATATGGACTCCGAAAAGAACTGTTTAAAGCATATTTCATATGTGGAGTCACCATGTATATTCTATAAATGTCAGCTCAGGACTCAACACTCTTGGGCTATCTGGAATATGCTCTGCCTCTACACCAATCCACTTACTTCAGAGCTGTTCCAGGAACTCTAAAGTCATTTTAAAAAATCACATTCTCTAAAGTAATGAGCTGTGGATTGTAGCCATAGCCATACAGACAATAAACACAGTTAAACAGAGCCAACTGGCATTCTTCATGCTGCAATAAGTGAAAAGTTCAAGAACCATTGTAATGTAACACTTTCTAAACTTGAAAGTCAAATGAAAAAGTTAGGAATTATGACCTCAGTTGTTCAGTTTAATCATTTCTATTCTAGGAGAATATTAGACTTTCCATTACCATATAAGGGGATCAGAAGTCTCCTTTGCGCTGTATTAGATCTAGAAATGTATGCACAGCTGGATATGCATGGTCAAAGAGAGACATAATAAAGAATGAAATGAAAATCTGAGCATAGAATGCAAATGTTATGGTTCATTCGGGGTTCTGATTGGGATTGCCTGCATCTTGAAGCAGATCCTCTGCATGATTTAGAACGTGCGTTTACACAAGAAGAGCAAGCTCTGTGCTGGAGGCATTTGGCCTCCAACTCATGGAATGCAGCAGGGGCAGTCAAAGAGGAGAACTGTCACACTCCTGCTTGCTTCCACTCCATGGGATCTCAATTGCGTGGAGGAACAAACACCTGAGCAAGGTCATCCTTCAATCATGGATCTAAAGAAATGCCTTGTCTCAAATGCCTTAATTCATGTCTTCTATGAATATTCAATATCCATCTCAGTACCCACTGAGCCATGAGAAGCATGAATGTACTGAGGAAAGATGAAGGAAGCCAATGGGTGGAGATGCATGATGGACCACCCAAATGCTGGAATAGTGTGCTAAAAAGCCCCCTTTCCAGGTAATGGTCCGCAAAGGATCAGATCTGGACTACTTCTGGGAAGCAGCTATTTCTCAGGATTTCTTGTTTGTGGGCAGGGGAGTCTTGGCTGATTTAAATTAGTTATACGCAAGGAGGTGGCAACCACAAAAATCTTTGCAGGCAATTTCTGGCTGAATCACTTGGTATAGAATGCTCATAAGAATGACAGCGTGTCACTTCTGTAGGCATTTTGTAGCTCAAAATGCAGCTGGCAAGATACCCACAGAGAGAGCGGAACCAGCAGCATCTTGGTTACATCATTGAAAGAAACCAAGGTAAACCAACACCCTCCTCTGAAATTTCTGATAATTTTCTCTGATGTAATTTTTGGTCCAGATCTATGGATTATGAAAGTCCAAAGCAACCTTACATTATTTAAGACTTTTTAGGTTGGAGTGGGAATAGGAACAAGGGAGAAAAGGATAGAAGTGTATAAAGCTATGCAAGGCATATAGAATGTGGGTGAAGGGGAAGAGACTTCTCTTTATTTCACATAATGCTAGAATTGGGTTTGCTAAATGAAGATGAATGGAGATGAAAGGAAGCACTTCTTCCGACAGAGCACAGCTGACCTATAAAATTCACTAGCAAATGTCCCTGCACAGCACAGGGTAGCCAGGAAAAAAATTGGCAGTGGCAAACTATTCCCCCCACCTCACAGACACCCTGTGAAATAGGAAGAGTAGGAAGTGTATAATGATAAAAAGAACAAGTAAGAGAGAACTACCACATGAGTGGAACACACACCACATCCATTGTAAACAGTGTGTCTAAAAATAATAGCAGGCTTTCCCAGAGAGTCAGGCCATAATGCCCTGGAAATTGAAATGGTTCCCTTCATCACTCAAGTAGCCTTCTGATTATAAAATTAAATTGGAGCATGGTGAACGTTCTTTTGTCTTTCACTTCTCTGGGTAAATATTCAGATGCAGCAGGCCTCCATTTTGGACACCATGAATCATGATTTTGTATTTGCTTCCTTTTGATATTGCTCTTTCACCACCAGTTAATATGAAGTGCTTGAATCATTTGGGTTTCACTCATTCCCTGGCAACTAGGTGTTTTTCTTGTTGAAGACAAAGTAATTCAGATACACCATTTCCCAGTGGAATGATGCATCATGGGGACAAATGCCATTAAAGAAATTTTCCATTCTTAGTTGTCAATGCAGCATTCTTCTCCTTTAATTAGACTGGAATCTTTCACTGGGATAATAATTGCTGGAGGCTTGTTCCTTCTTGTACTAACCCTCTTCAGACAAAAAAAACAACTACACCAGGAATGAATTTGACCAGTACGATCATTACTGCTTTTTCCCACATCAAGGTATTTTTCATGAGAAGAAATGTTTGCACATTTACAATTAGGGAATTTGAAATACACTTTTTTTAAAGCACCAGCTTGTCATCTGTCTTATAATGCAAGAGACAAGCATCCCCATGCTACGTTAACAGCCTCCTGTGGATATATATATGAACTAAATTTCTCACAATGAAGCATTTGTTTGGGGGTGGCATATCACAAGGCTGGATCTAGTCTCACAGCCCCCAGTGCACCCTGCATCAGAAACACTTCTGAAAGGGCCTTCTCTACATTGCTCTGCCTCATCTTTTATGTTGGCATACTTTGTATTTGAGCTGGCACTAATCGATCAATACGCTTCAACTTAACTGCTCCAGCAGCAGTTAACACAGCAGCCACAACAAACACAATTCTGGAAGCTCCTAATGTGTGTTCCTGCCTCTTACACAGACATTATTTGCCTGGAGTTTACATGTAGATCATGCTGTCCTTCAAAAAGCCCAGAGCTCAGCATTTTGAACAGAAACCGAGTTAGGCACAGAACTCCTGCAAATTAAATCACTGGATGTGGCTACTTAAAACAATGTCCTGATATAGAGAGGCTTAGGCTAAATGCTCATCCTCACACATATTTGGTGTGCATTCAGTGTTCCTTGGAAGGAAACCCCTTTTGAAACTAATACTCTCTCCTTTTTTCTCATTGCCTTTGTTTGGGGACTGTTCATTAGTTTCTTGTTTAAAGCAAGCCTAGTTGCCTATGTTGTGCTAAGCAGAATTTCCGTTATTATTCTTAGACCTCTAGAATTCTTAGACCTCTAGACCTCTAGGCAAATAAAGTCCGACATAGTGCAGAGATGCTTCTTAGAGGGAAACATATTGAGCATAAAAAAGGACATCCCCTTTTAGTACAGCCTTAATTTTTACACAGCAGCAGCATATTTCCCCTCTCAATAAAAATGACTGGGATTGTAAAAAGAGATCAAATGAACAAGAATCCTTCTGCTACAGTAGGTTAATGCCAATTCATTTGCCTTGTGGTGCAATCAGGAAAGCTGTCTGTGGTCACTGCTTAATGCACACAGAGAAAAGGAAATGTTCAGGAAAGTCAATAACAGGGCACAATGTTTCAGATCCTAGAAGAAGGAATAACATTCTGCTAAAGGAGGAGATGCACACATGTACCGGTGCTACACACTGCCTTTTCAGACTGAAAAGCTCATACATATTCTAAAGGTGAACGTCAGATTATGAACTTCTGAAAAATACCAATGTGAGATATTTCAGCTTTAGTATCTGGGCTCTACTTGTTTTGTTTAGTTTTTAATGGGATGGGACTACCTATTCTGGCGCTTTTCTCATCTGAGAACAAAAGAGACAGCTGCACAAGATGGTTCCCAATGTATCTTGAGAAAAGTTTGACATTTCTTGTAGGAGAAAACTGGTCAGGACAACTGTTCTAACACAGAAATGCATTGAGAACCATATCTATCAGCACAGCTGTCCATTCTTGTTTTCCAGTACCAATACTGTATGAAACCATTTTAAATCAAAAAGTATAAACATTTCCCTTGTTAAAGAGATTCCTCCACACACATCAGGAGGCGTATCTATTCTGCAGCTGTCTTTTTTTTCTTCTTCTTGTCATTCATTGATGCTTCTGTGGCCGTTACTGATTTTTTCTTTTAGTATTTGCACTTTCCCATCCAAATCTTAACAGTTTGGAAAGAATATTTAAGTAGTTAATCATTTATACTTCTCATCTTGCATGTCACCAGACACAATTGAGGGTAACCTTTCATAGAAGAGATAAGAACACACACTCAAGCACACACAGAGTAGGATGTTCTGAGAAATCTTAACTTTTGAAAAGAGAGCCTTTTTACATGCATAATTCACAACAATGTCTATGAACAGGAGTTTAAGAAAACTCTTCTACTACACTGCTTTGGAGATAGTTCAAAACTCAGTACATAATTAAATACATATGATGGATTTTACTGAGTGGTTAATGCATGTAAAATTTCCTTTGACAATTCAAATTTATACTCACTTTAGTTCTTATAAATCTTGCAGGAGTATAATTGACTTAACATTTTCTCCAATACAGCTAATACATTACTTTCATTTCTATCTGGATTTTCATACAAATGAGAATTAGGCTTGCTGAATGGAATTAGTGGCACCTGATATTCAATGCTAAAACATCTGTGGAGACAACCAGAGTGT